GTGTGCTCCTGTGAAGATTTGCAGTCGTGGGAAGCCAATGGAGGTCACTACAAGCTGGAGCTGATTCCACGGCGATGGTGTGGCATGGCTCGTCATTGTATTTGCAGTTTCTCTAGGACACAGTTATGGATCTGAGGCTCTCTTTCCTCTGTATGTATTTCCCACTCAGAACTGTTTTTACTGCACTATACCCTTTGGCATCCTGTATTTTCATTTTCACCCACCATCAAATACTTTCTATTACCCCTTGCGATTTATTTGTTACCCACAGATGGCTGGAAAACACATGTGCACTAGCCATATGTTTGTGAATGCCCAATTCTCCTTTAGATATTGACTTTTAGCTCCACTGCGTCATGGTTGGAGAGAGGGCATTCTGTGTGATCTCAGTGCTTTTTAAGGAATTGATTTATTTTTACTGTGGTTACACTGGGGGTTATAGTTAATCCATTAAACACATAACAATACATTTTGGATGGATATTGGTCCGCAGGCAGCTCTTTCTCCCTCCCTTTATGTTGTTATCACAAATTGCATCTTCATACAATGTGCACCCATTAGCAGAAATATTCAATAATTTTTAGTGCATCTGCTTTTTAAATAATATGGGAAGAAAGTAGAGCTACAAGAACACATGTCATAGTACTTTGTTTTGTAATGTTAAAATGTCATTACATTTACCAGTATGTTTTATTTCTTCCCACAAGTATAGATTGGACCACAAGTTACCACCTAATGTTTGATTTTTCTCAATAAAAAAAGTTTCAAACCAAACATTTGCCTTTTAACAATTTTAAAATGTATGATTTAGTGACACTGCTTATATTTACAATGTGCAAACATCAGTACTATTTAGATTCAAAGGTTTTTAATCACTCCAAACCAAAGCTCGGTGACCCTTAATCAGTACCTCTTCCCATTACGCCCTTCCCTCAGCCTGTGGAAACCACTAATTTATGATAAGCAAGTGACTACAAAAGTTAGAAGGGACCTACCTTAGAGTAGAATGCTAACTCAAAACTATTTATTAATGTACCAAGAGTATTGTATGGATTTTAAAGGGAGGGAGTGAAATTAGGACAGTGGCATATCATAAAATGCAAAAAGTCTGAAAAAGGCAATAATCTTATTTTCCTTCTCCAGGATCTAATTTTGTTAAAAATAAAGAAAACGGGTTAAATAGAATTTAGGACTGAATTAAGGTGAAATCTAAGTTAATGAAACATAAACCGGAGAAGTAATCGAGAAAATGTAAGCATGGTGGAAATGGAACATCTTAGAAAAGACTAATAAACTTCATAAATAGTAATCATCAAAGGAAAAGAGGGACACAGGATACATAGCCCAGGTCCATGTGGAAACAGGGCTGTGAGAGTGGACGCAACGCTCCTTAAAAGCATGACAGTGGAGACTATGAGCAGCGTTAATTATATAAATCTGACATTATCAATTAATTAGGTAATTCACTTGAAAACACAACTTATCCAGGTGGAAAAAACTGAAATAGATATTCAGAATAGTCCTACATGCATTAAAGATATTGAATTTGTTCATTGAAGCTATAATTACCTAAAATGATATTGATAAACACTCCAATGAAGAAAATTCCTAGCTTACATGTTCTCACTGATGAAAAATTCCTGTCAGTTCAAAAGAAAATAATCCCATTCTTTTTATAAATTCAAAAGAGCAGGCACATATGTTGACATAGGCTATGATCAACAAAATGACTTTGATAACAAAACTTGGCAGGGACCTCACCAGAATAAAGGGCTACCAGCCAATATCTCTCATGAGCAGAGAGGCAACCACACTAAATAAAAGTTGGAAAGTAGAATTTTGGGATGTGCAGAGGAGATAGCATATCTCAGAATTTGCTGGTACCCTCCCCTGGTCAGTCTCCCCAGCATCAGGGCCCCCACCCTGACCGAGGATATCTTGCCCACATGGAGGCAGTCTGAGAAGTGCAGGGATGAAGGAATCAGAGAGAGACCCAGAGGAGAGCAGGCTCTGGCTCTCCACAGCGGCCAACGTTGGTGATGACCGGAGATTGGAGGAAGGCAGCCTGGAGCTGAGCATCTCCTGACTGAGGAGATTTCAAGTTGTCCCACTGGACCAAATTTTTCAGGCTCTAGAAGTTGATTTCCCTCAGGAGGGAACGGCAGAAAGTTTCTCTAGTTTACTTTTGACTGCATCCTTTGGGTCCCTGGGAACCTGTGCATATTTGGCTCCCAAGGAATAATGCTCCTTTGGGACAGGTAGTGAGAAGATAGGAGAGAGAAGGCCCATTGGATTCTCCTCTGCACTCCACTCCTGCACTTTCTCCTGAGCTCCTGTGCGACAACTGGGTTCTTCTTGCTTGTGCATGGAGACAGTGTGGTCCCCTTCTCCCCAGCATGGCTCTGCACTAAGGATGCAGCAGGCAGCCTGGGCTGAAGACAACTTCCTTCAAACCATCCATCATCCACTCTTCTCTCCAGAGGTAATTGTCTACTCAGGGTTTCAAAGATGGATGAGCATCATCCCAACAGGCTCTGGGCTTGGGCTTTTCTAGTATGAGGACCACAGGAGTCTGAGGAGAGGGTTGGGAGGTGCAGAAAGAACCACTCACTTCTGAGTCCCACTGGCTCTGCTGAAGGGAGATCAGCCCTTCTCTGTCCAACCCAGGGCCAGGCCCACCTCCTGCCATCACCTACAATCTGACAGCCCCTAGTTCCAGTGTCTCCATTACATCCGTTTGTCAGGGTGCAGGGGACCTACAGGGTGGGAGATGGCAGGTCACCTGTGTGGTACTACAGAGATGAGGTGATGCGGGCACTGCTGGTCATGCGGTCGTCTCTTCATGCATGAGTTTGCTGTGGTGGTGTGGGAGTCATCGGGTCAGCACACAGGAAAGGATATGTACTCCTTATGCTCAGCCTCTGCCTTTGGCACTGGCAGTTGAACTGTATATGGAGAGACAGAGTCCCAGCTGTCGAAATCCTGCTGCCATCTATTCAATTAGCATTCATGAAGGCCCCATAGGATGGGAAGAACTCCAGCATTAAGTTCCCATGGCAGTAAGCCTTTGACAGAAGTCTACCACATCTTTCTTTTGTGCCCTAGAGGTACTTGTGTTCATTGTCAGGTCCAGAAGACAACTGAGTAGATCATAAAAGTGGAACATAATGTCAGGAATATAGTGAATGATCCCTTTCCAAAAAATACAACCTAGTGAAAGATCAGCAAGGAAAGGCATGTGTGCTGTTTCAGGAAGACAACTGTGCAGCATCTGGAAGCAGAAAATAGTGGAAGAAAGACCTCAATGAGCAGGGCACAGAGGCACATGTCCCACAGGTGTCAGTGTGGTCGACCTTGGTGTCTTGCGACCCTTGTCCTTGAACACAGGACAGTGGAGAAACAAGGCGGGCACTGATACGCTGATGCCAGGAGCTTTCCAAACTGCCCTTGGGATTGAGAGCGTGGCAGACAAGATGCAGGAGCTCACGGCCCAGTTGGAGGTCCTGAACTTTGAGACCTGGGAAGGCAGGGACTGTCAGCTCTCCAGGTGGCAACTGTGCAGAACTGTGAGAGTGGAGATGAAAGCTCCAGTCTCTGGCTCTTTCTAGAGAATTCTTCCCCCTGTGTCCTCAAATGACGAGAAAATTCAGACCCTCAGCACAAGTGGCAACGTACTGGGAGCTGGCCAGGCTCTGCATGCTTGTGGGACACACCACTGAAGACAAAGGTAGGGGCAAGGATGTTCACCAGAAGAACAGAGAGGAAGACGTGGGTAATCCACCCAAGGGAGACAGCCCCTCAAATCAAAGAAATTCCCTTTACTATCAAAATAGCTCTCATTCTGTGAAAATGTCCCAGAAAGATCCCACTTCCCAAGTAAAACTACCTGAGGGGGAAGGTTTGGCATGCAAGGGATGCCAATGGAGCCACCGTCCGAGGAAAGAGGGGAAGGAGGAGGAGAGTCTGGGTCAGCTCTGCCCCTGGAATGTTCTTGTAACTGTTGAGCTGAATCGGGAGTTGGCAGGACAGGCCATCACAGGAGAGAGGAGATAGGAGAACTTAGGACACTCACAGTGGAACAAGGGTGGAGTGGAAATGAGCAGGTTGGAGTGGGAAGGAGACAGGCTGGTTGGTCAGCATGCAGCTGGAGGCAGGGTGTGCAGTGAGCTGAAGATGCTAGGTGGGACCTTTTGTGCCGATGTTTGATTACTGCATCTTGGATTTTGATCTTATGTATTACACAGACTCCTCAAAAAACACCTGGCCCCAACATGGCCCAGAGACTGGTATATTATGTGTGGTTCCAGGGTCTTGGAGAGTAAAATTTCCTTAACTGGGAGATATCTTTAGTCCTTTGAGATCACAATCAATATTGTCTCTCCTCTACTTTCTAG